AAAAGAACTGTCGCAAGTAAGAACAAGTCTTAAAGAAGACATGAAAATGCAACTGGACGAGCTGACCACCGAAATCAACCAACAAGTGAGTGCCGCTACTGGCAAAATAGAGGAGGTGGCGGAACGACTGGGAGAAATTGAGAAGAACTTGACAGGGARGGAGAAATGGGACATTGGCGTTAAAGACACTCTTATTCAACTGCTTGACAATCAAAAGTCTCTCCAGGAGAAGATAACGGACTTGGAAGGGCGCTCACGGCGTAACAACATAAGGATTTATGGCATCCCCGAAAACGCAGAGGGCTCTTCTATGCTACGGTATGTGGAACATATGATTCTGACTGAACTGGGGGACAACGTGGGCCTCCGCGGAGAGGGGAGTTTGGGAATCGAGAGAGCACACAGGTCGCTCGGCCCACAGCCACCTGTGGGCGCGCCCCCGCGCTCTACAGTGCTACGGTTCCTACAGTTTAATATTAAGGAGAAAATCCTCCATGCTGCGTGGAAGAAACCCATCTGTGTTCAAGAAAAGCGAGTGTACTTTGACCACGATTACGCCGAGAATGTACAGCAGAGGAGGAAAGAGTATACTCCCATCAAAAAAGCGCTCAAAGAAAAAAGGATCCGCTTCCAAACTCCGCTGACGAGGATGCACGTGCACTTCGATTCAGGCAYGGTGACGTACAGCAACGCCGAGGATGCCGCGGAGGATTTAAAGAGACGTGGATTCACAGTGGGTCCGCTATCGTTAAGAAGATCCAAAGACATCACCGTGGAGTCCATCAACAAACTTCTACCGTGGAGTACAGCAGGGACTCAGCGAGCAGGGAACGYGCATAACTGTCAGGAGAGCGCACGCGAGAAGTTGAAGGTGTTTCGGAGGCCAGCCAGCCAGGATGCCATAATAATGGATGAGTAACTTTCTCCGCCCCTCCCTCATAGAGATATGTTAATCTATCTCCACCTGTAAGTTAATGGTTCTTARGCAATCGATACCTTAATTTAATGTTACAATAAGCTAAAGAAGCTATAAACATAAAGCCACAGTAAAGACTCATGTGGAACCTGTGACCTCCCTTAAATATAAGTTAGTATAGCAATGGTTCGATGCAGCTGACCTTCATAATAGGCCACCACTTTTTTTCAGTGTCTCTATTTTCTCATATTTTATTTCCTAAGTACTGCTGAGGGGCCCCACTTAGTGGCATTCCCCCCTCAACCTAAAGAGGTTTCAGGAGAACCTCCGAACTGGAAGACCTGTTCTGTAAGTTTATCACATGTTCAGTGAATGTTATATCTTGTGTTGTTTGTGTTGTAAGGGCTTTGACTGAATTCTTAAAGGTACAAGAAAACATATTTATGGTGACTAATGTGAATGCAGTATTATAATATACAGTYTTGGAATGTGAATGGCATAAACAATCCCATCAAAAGGAGCAAAATAGTTGCAAAGTTGAAACGAGAAAAAATTAATATAGTTTTTCTGCAGGAAAYGCATCTCTCTGCTATAGAACATGAGAAATTTAAGAAAATTGGATATAGAAATACCTTTTTCTCCTCACAGAGGACAGGAAAGAAAAGGGGAGTAGCCATTCTCATTCCAAATTCTGTTTTTTTTTAATTGATCGCAGAACATAAAGACAAAGAGGGTAGATTTGTCCTAGTCAAGGGGAAAATAGAGCAGGAAGAAGTTACTTTGTGTAATGTGTATGCACCCCCTGGTAGCAACATCTCATTCTTCAGGGAGGTATTTAACCTCATTGCTGCAGAAACATGTGGCACATGTCTATGTGCAGGGGACTTTAATTTACTTCTTAATCCTAAATTAGACACAACAAATCGAGTGAGAAGAAAGAATCTCTTAGAAAAACAAATAAATAAAATTCTTCAAGACCTTGGACTAATCGATATTTGGAGACATTTACACAAACACGATAGTGATTTTACCTTTTACTCTGCAAGGCATAATATATACTCTAGAATCGATTATATCTTCATGTTTAGCAGAGATTTCCATAAGGTGAAATATTGCACAATTGGACAGAGAGATATTTCTGATCACTCAGGCTTAACTTTGAAACTTACTTTAGATAGAAATCCTAAAACTACTTTATGGAGGCTGAATACTGGTTTATTAAATAGTAATTCATTTAAAACCGAAATGGCCAAGGAAGTAGAAACTTRTTTAGAACATAATGATAATGGAGAAGTCAGTCCTGCAATTCTATGGGATGCAGCAAAAGCATTTCTTAGAGGAAAAATCMTAGCTAAGTGTGCTAGGCTAAAAAAGATCAGAGATAAAAAGCTGTCAGACTTGCAGAAGCAATTAAAAAATCTTGAGCTACTTCATACTACTAACAACGACCCCTCTTTACGTGAGCAAATGAGGCCTGTTAAGCAGGAAATAGACAAAATTCTTAGTGAGGAAACTGAAAAAAAAAATGAAATTCCTAAGACAGCGATATTATGAGGCAGGGCCTAAAGCGTCTAAAATACTTGCATGGAGAATTAGAAAACAGCAAGCAGAAAACTCAATCCACAAAATTAGGGATCCTATCACAAATAAGGTAACTACTAAATTAGAGGAAATTCAGAGTGCATTCGAAAAATATTACAGATTACTATATACACAGCCAGACAAATCAGACAGACCTACAATTCAAACATTTCTCTCTTCTTTAGATCTCCCCTCAATAGGTAAAAATCAAAACGAAGAGTTAATT